AAACTCAAGAAAAATTCCAAAAAGCCCACACCCCGGAACGAATGGGCATAGTGAACGCGTGCATTGGATGTTTGCCAACTTCCAACTGCTCTCACAGTTTTTCGCTTTCAGAGACGAATTTTGAAAAACATCGAAATACATGAATCATACATGGAAAACCTGTTGCATTTTTTGGAAGCATTTTGGTCGGCACGGGACGCACGTCACAGCTCACGGAGCGGCCGCCTGTTCTACTAGGTGTGCGGGTAAGTTTCAGCTTCCACACACAACTTAGTAGGGGAGGGGGTTTCTGATGGAGCTCAACGCACGAAGTAAGGAAGTGGAGTCTGAAAATCAACGCATCGAAGAGGGAAGTGCTGCGCGCAAGGTGCTGGTATGCTCGTGGCAAGAGTGCAGTAGTTAGGCGGTGGGCTTGACTTGGAAGAAGTTGACAGCTATGTCTGTTCAGTTGCCAGACTGAATTAAGACACTCGCAAATTAATGGGCCGTAATATTCTGTATTTTAGTTTGTCTCCCATTTTATCCCTACCTTCTTATCATCCGTTCGCCTGCTACCTGTCAACACTTTTTCGTGCATTTAATTACCCCACTTATTCCAATCGGTCCGCGGCAGGCATGGTACAGTGGAATAGCATTGTTGTCGTGCAGTAAGTCGGAAGTTCGACTCTGTCGGTGGAAAAAAACCAATCCCCTTCTGTGGCTTATTTTGATGGTAAATTGGTACTGGCATATACCTGGGAGTCAGACCCCTTTCCATCAGCTTACTTGTAAGCAAACTCAGAAGAGGGTGATTTTTTTTAATAAAAACTTTAGGTTTTTTTTACCTACTTCTTTTAAAGGTGGATCGAAGACGATGACGCCGAGCATCAAACTAAATTCTGGCCATTACATACCATCAGTTGGTCTTGGTACTTGGCTATCACCACCTGGGCAGGTTGGAGATGCGGTAAAAATCGCTCTCAACAACGGCTATGAGCATATCGATTGTGCACATGCCTACAGAAATCAGGTGGAAATTGGCGATGCACTGGCCGATATTTTCAGCGAAGGCAAAATCAAGGTAAGGTTTTTTTTGGCACAAATTTGTTGTACTTCATTTTTTTCGTCCGAGAGCGTTTTGACTCAAATTTTGAGATTGGCAAATTAAAGGATAAGGTAGAAAATGATGGAATTGGAAAAATGAAGAAGGGAAAAGAAAAACGAAGGAAGTGAATTTGACACTTTCACGCGAAAAATTTATTTATTTTTTGCCTGTAATTCGATAGGAGTTTTGCAGCGACAAAATATATTCATTACGTCAAAGATCTGGAACACTTTTCATTCTTATCAAATGGCCAAGAAGGGAATGGATATGATTCTTGGTGAGCTGCGCCTCGATTATCTTGATTTGTGTCTCATTCACTGGCCTCATGGATATGAAGAAGGCAGTGATTTTTATCCCAAGGTTGCTTTTTTTCCCATCCAATTCACACCCATATTTCCTAGGAACTTAGGTGAAGATGTGCGTAAGGCGGTTAAATTCATTTACGAAAAATACCGCATCCAAATTCGAGCAATTAGTTTGGGTATCCCATGTTATTGATGTTACTAGAATGTTCTAGCGCTCCGAACGCAGCTATGCCAGTCCGTTCGATCGTGAGCAGTTCTTCAGTATTGGCTATTGGAAATATTCTTTTTTTACTAATTTTGGCGGTTTTTTTTGAAATTTTCTTGCAAAAAAGTTGAGTGGGTTTAGTTCAGAACAGTCGAGTTTTTTGGCCTTTTTTTTAAAAGAAATTTGAACGAGGAGCTGAAAATTGATAGGCATGGTGTGGTGACGATTAGGACAAAAGTCATACTTAAGTCACTGGTTCGATTCTGCCAGTGGGACAGCCAGTTTCTATGCGACATTGTTTCGTTTTGAAGATAAATTAGTGCTATTCTGTGGAAGGCAACTACCGTCAGTGTGCTTTGAGGCAATCTTTTGGTG